TTTAACCTATCCAGATCCCTCTGCAATCTCTCCCTCCCTGCTAGCGTGCTCACCTCCCCCCAAATTTTGGTGTCATCAGCAAATTTAAACAGGTTACATTGGGCAGATACATGCACAAATCCTATCTTAGAGCAGACCAGATTGCTGCAAAGATGACTTGCAGCAGAGAGCCTGTCAGCCCCTTTCATGAAGCAACTTAAGGGATGCTCCCACCAGTAACAGGAAAGATAAGCAAGGTTAAACATGCTTTAGCACAGTGTCAGAACCTAAAATGAATGCTGCATTGTGGATATGAGCCAGAAGGCTGTCTACACTGGTATGGAGCATACATATCCACTGTGTCAATAGACCTTTACTTGCAAGGGGCTAACACTGCTCTGAATGATGTTAATTATTCCAGCAAATGCAGGTTTTGTAGATAAGACTAAATTAGTGGGCCATGGTGCAAGTGAAAAGTTCTGCCAACACAACTGCGGTGCAATGCCAAACCCAAGTATTTCCAAACTGTTACTGAATGTGAATTTATTTTTAAAACTTCCTGTGCAATTACTAATTTTTAAAGGCTTTGTTCTGTTGGCAGCTAAGGTACTTCTGGAAACCAAAGTAATTAAAAACATGAACAGGAACACAAAACTGAGCTAGAAGCCAAACTCAACTACCTACAACCATTGAGGCACCGTACCTCTAGACTTAGTCTGGACTTTGGATTCTGTCTCAATGGCCTAAAGGGGGGATGGAAGGTCTGGGAAGCCTTCACTCCTCCATACTACCTGTGTATATGCATCAAAAGCCCTAGTGACCTGTCATGCATACACCATGAACCAGAAGGATTGATGGTTGTATAATACAACCACATGACTTGATGTAGCATGCCCATCTGGAAGCCCTTTGCCAGTGGTATGTGAAAGAAAAGCAGTAAAGCATTAGGCCTAGACCTTTAGCTAAGAAAACATACCAAACATAGACAGCCACATTCATCCCTCAGCAGTCACATCAGGGCTCACAGTCAATGATTTCCTTCTGATCTCACCTGCACTAGCCAAGAATACTACAGATGCAGCATCTCAGGTAACCCAGGATCCATCCAAGTCAGGGTTTGCTCAAACTTTCAACTGCTAGACTGTCAGATGCAGGCTTGGTTTTTTGGGTACTTTCTAAATCTTTAATCCATAATTTCTTCCTTCCTACACTTTCTCTGTGACTCTTTGCAATGTTCCCACCACTGCCTTGTAAGGGAAGAGATGTCTGACACAGCTCTACTGGCACGGATCATTTGGTCTGGGAAAAAGGAGTGCACTTTTAGAATGAAACATATAAGAGAAAGGCTCCTTAAGCAGCAGTGGCTTCACCAGCAGGGAAACTGATGCCACAGGAGAACAGAGAGTGTTTTGTGAAAAGCACTGGAGAAGAGGCAGGGCCTCACCATACCTGTGGTGGCACTGTAGATGGTAAATATGACCCCGCCCCCCAGACCCGAACTCTGGGGGTTTAAAACAGAGGAGCAGATCAACGCAGCAATTGCAGCATCCACAGCCGAGCCACCATGTTTCAGGATGTCTCTGTGACAGGGAGAGAAAACAGCATTAAAAAAAAAAACAAAACCCAACCCAGCCAGGAGAGCACTGAGCAGCGCCTGTGAAATCCTTCTACTGCAAAGAGGCCACAACGGGCATATGAGGTGGAGAGAGGAGTCTGCAGCTGAGTGCCCAAAGCAGCAGTGGAACTACACCAAACAAGGGGAAGTCAGAGCAGCCAGAAAGGAGTTAATGCTTGACAGACAGACACAAGTGAAGGACAATCTGAGGCCCGCAGAAGGAAATGGCACACAGAAATGCTATGTGCTACACAAGATTTACTTGGGCCAGAGAACCAGCCATAGAACAATCCACGGAATTCGTTAATGGTTTGTACAACACAGCAAGGGTGTGGCTCAGGAAACACTGGAAAGGAGACCCGAGAGCTACTTCAAATGAGAAAGCTACCATGAGAGCAGAGCAGACTTAACATAGCCTTGAAATCTTCACTAGCATCTAAAGCGGCATCACTGTATTGAGGCTAAGTTCATTGACAGTGGGCGCATCTACACAAGACATTTACTGCACAGTTGACTAATTAGTTGCATAGTAAACATCTTGGCATCTACATGTCTGCCCCTATTAGGCTGGAGTAAACTAATTTACACCGCAGCAGGATAGTACATGTAAATATAAGTACTACCCTGCTACAAGGTAAAAAAACTCTGCAGTACCGCACATGTAGATGCTGCCCCAGCTGGCTGGAGCACAAGTGTGCTTCAGTGTGGAGGCTGCCTGCCTGCTAACTAAAGCTGTGCATTAAAAGGCACACGTAGATGCACCCAGTATGAGGAGGAGATACAGGTGGCTGTGAACTAAACTGCACTGGATGCAAGCACTTTGGCGCTGGAAATTCAAGGGCAACTTCATTAGCATACCCTCACTGGTACAGTGAAGCTACTCTATTCTTATGTCAGGACAAGCAGGCTCAATCAAAGACTGGATCCCAATTAAAAGCTCATGTTAAGCCCCTTTCAGTATACCACCCAAGCCTGGGAGTGATTAAGTGTACTCAAACATTGTTCCAAAACCCACTCTCTACAACCTTGGGCATCCACAGCTATTTTTACAGGATTTCCTGGGACTTCCAGTTGTGTAATATCTTAACTCTGCTGAATCTGCCCCTACAATGCCCCGGGGTTCCAGGGAAACTTACACGTAGAGAGGGATTCTAAGACCTGCCCAAGATCACATGCACAGAGATAGAACAGGGCCCAGACTGCCAGTCCAGAGGCTTAATCAGAAGGCTCTCTTTCCTCCAGCATGAGTTTAAACCCTTATACCATGAGCTGCAGAATGATTCACAAGCCCCTTACTCTCCTCAGATGAAAGGAATGAAAGGATCAGACCTTCCTTGCATGGTAACCAAGTTCAGAAACCATGTTCTTCTCAGTACTGCACCCCCATACCACTCCCTCCATGTGCTCTTGGTAGCAGACTGACTATCACAGTGTTCAGCACTGGCTAATTCCAAAGGGTCAAACATCGTGAGTCAGGCCCCTAGAAACTGACAGCTAAAATGGTTTTGAAACCACAGATTTTCCAAAAAATTTAAAAAGTGCTGGATATTCTTTTATTTCTCCTCTGGATTTTGACTCTGGGGGGTAGCACTGGGGTCCTGTTTTTAATTATTCTCACCTATGGTCCTGAGGCTTTAGGACTAACAAGATTCCCCCACCCACACAACACACACACATATCATGTCCTCTAACAGCTGGTAAAACTGTGCCAGGCTTTGAACTGTTCCTTTGCTGGCCAATCAGGAACATAAAGCAAAGTAGTTGATAACCCCAATTCCTGCCACCACTGCCAACACATTGTGGGGGGCACATTTCCCCCCAAAAAATTTCTGTGCCAATAGTAGTGTGCAAGGCACAGGGCTGCAGCCTGGCCAGAGCTAGGGCCCAGCAGCTGTGGGGAAGGCAGCAGCGGTGACATGATTTCTGTGTCAATGAGGGGGGCGTGGGGCTGCATCCCAGCCAGCCCCAATGCCCGTCAGCAGCAGGGGCACCAGTGGTGTGGAATTGTGCCTCCCCTCCCCGCAACATTTAAGCATCACCTATGCTTGCCAGAATCACTGTACAGCATTTTCCCAGGCATCCTTCAGACCCCAGCTGTTGGCCCAGGACTGAGGTGTTTCAATGCTAGTTTACGTCTGAGCCATAGCAGTAGTCCAGCCTTTATCCAGCTTGGTTTAGAACAGGGATTACCCCAGGAAAGGCTTTGTGTTCCCGTTAGGTGGCTTTTCTGGAACAGAGAAACTTAGTTGAACACAAGCTAGAAAGCAGAGCAGTCCTGGGAAAGTTGCTGCCTGCTGAGGATGCAGCATTGGCCCATATTGCTTCTATGAGGGGCACAATGAAATAGGCTTTGTCAACAGAAGCAACTTCATGTCACCACAAGCAGACTCGCCCTGGGGACTTTGCCATTATAGAGATGAGGCAGATGCACACACAAACTCACACACATGCATGCAATGTTATCCTGGGAAAGTGTAAGCCTGAAACCAAAGAAGGAAATTTCCTCGAACCTCAGTCTCTCACAAGGACCAGGCCTACAGAGACTTGTTTCACATCAGTCTTTGTGAATATGGATCCAGATCTGCACTAGGGAATGTTTTGTCTGTAAACAGACATCAGCCTGGTATTTCCTATGAATGTTATCTTAACTCATGTGCTTAAGTCAAGCTGAGTTACTTTGAGAGCTAGCCAGTAGCCATTAGCTCAGCTACAACCAGGAGACAACTACGAGAGGAGAACATTTCATTTGGGTTGGGGAATGTCTGTGTAAACAGTTCCCTGTGGGCATCAGGGAGCAGAGGTATGTATGTACCTACATATACACATGGACTGCTATTTGGTCTTTGTTATCTACAACCCTTTATCTTCCCTGTAGACTTCTGAAAAGGTAGCAAGGATTGAAAAGCCCCAGGATTAAATCTATGCTGAAAGCTCTGTCTATCCCACATCCTAATATAAAGAAATTCCCCTCTTTCCACCCCCACCCCCCATCAACTCAGGAAGTGATGAGCCCACTGTTTAAGATGCACATGCGTGTATTAATCTTTGCCCATAGTAGATGTGATACAGATCACAGGCAAAGAGAATGGGAAGGACACAATGCCTGCCACAAGTAGCTGAAGGCTCTTCTGTGTCAGGGAGCCTTGCTCCTGTAACGACTCCACATGCTATGATGTCCCAGCGGATGCGGCTCATGTAAAGTTAGAAAAAGCATGCTCTCTTGGACAGAAACTGGGAGACAGGAAACCCAGTTCCCAGACCTGGCTCTGCCATAGAGTCCTGTGTGGTCTTGGTCAAGTGAATCTTTCTGTGCCTCTGTTTGCCTGTCTGTAAAACAGAAACAAAATAATCTATGTACCTCTATTAGCAAGTGTTTACAATACTTCTGGGGCCTCCTTAGAGAAAGGTGCTGTGTGTTAAAAGTACTTTTATACTAACATGCCAATGGAGTTGACCTAGGGGGAGGTGCAGGGAGTTATTACAGTCATTTCAGAGATTGGGGACTGAGATGCAGAGACCAAAGGACTTTGCTGATAGTCCTGCAGATATTCAGTGACAGAGCCAAGTTCTGGCCCTGACTTCTTGCCCTAACTTCTAAATCGTCTGGGTGTCTGTGTCTTAAGCACCACTGTACAAAATCTGATGTCAGGAGCAGAATACCCAGGAGCTAAGTTACAGGGAAAGGCTGCTTTTAGAGAAAGCCCTTGTGGTTTCCAACCGACTAGGAAATGTTCTTTTAAATGTGACAAATTCAGGGATCCTGGTTTTCTGTTTCCCACAGAAAAACAGAGAAAACCATGGATTTCCCCTTTTTATCAGAGAAAATGCGGATTTCTCCTTTTAGCAGAGAAACCCACTGATTCCCTGCTTTTGCAAACAGCTCTGCAGGCTGGTTGAGCTCCAGCCTGCAGGAGCTGTTTGCAGACAGGGTGAGAAACCCCTGCCCTGCCTGCAGGGGAAGGGTGAGGGGGAAGGGCAGGGCCCAAGACTCTCAGTCAGCCACAGCTCTGCTCAGCTCAGCTTCACTCTTCGCTCCTGGA